CTAAATGGCTTAGCATTAGCAGCAAAACAGCTTAAATACCCTGTCCCAAGAGGTTAAACTGCAATGAGCCTCTTAAAAAACACTCCGTGCAATGAACAAGCACTCAGCTCTGTGGCACAAGTTTGGGGATCAGTCTTCCTCTCAGCTCCCTGTGTGGCTACAGAGCAGCACAAGTGTCAATCCAAAGGAACACATTTCAAAAAGTATTACTTTTGAAATGTAAAGAAATAAAATTATCAAATTGAGATGTAAAGAAAAAACCTGATGGAATTAAATTTGACATTAATCTAAGAATAAGGATATTCTACCTTGATAAAGATTTATACTTAAGCAACTCTTTCCTCTTCAAGGAAGCTAAAAARTTCAGCAGCAGGGACTTGGCTTTGCAAATTTACACATTTGACAAGCTGTTGTGTCTGTCCCACAAGTCACCTGGGGACCACGCCAGGGATGGCTGCTGTGATGGCAGCTCAGGTGTGTGATATTCAGATTTTRTGTGGCTGGCACCTCACCTACAGCTAATGGCACTGCCAGTGAATGCTTCCAATATGCAGATACCACTTTAATCACCAAAATAAATTGATTCCTAATGAAATGCCCCAGCTTTAAAGCACTACAGTACAGTTTATACAAGGGACCAAAATTAAAAGGAAGGARAAGAAAGAACATAAAGCCAACATAYAGTAAAGGAGTAATTYCTCCCAYTCAATCAAACCAATGTTTCCTGTCAGGCAAGAAATGTCTGGTCAACGAAAGTTATTTGCTAAGCTGCTTCRGAGAAGCAGTATTAGTAAGAAAGAAATGACCATAAAACACATTCACTGGAAGAACAAAACCAAAGTAAGGGYAGTCTATGCTTGAAAATGCTTGTTTTCTTTAACTATTTTCCAATTCCTTTTCAAGACAAGCAGCTGTAATCCAAGGCATGACGTATTTGAAGTTCTGCCCTTGAAACCTTTTCTTTTTGCCTTCTTCCTCCCAGTCAGGAGTCACATGAAGTATTGGGTCTGCAATAAATTACAGCATTCCAGATCTGCATCAAGCAGCTGAGTCAGGGAGACCCTGTGTTTCAGCTTCCTTCAAGGCTACTTTCAGCTGCTAAAGGCYGGTAACATCTAGAGGCTTTTCCAGGAGGGCAAAACAACCATCTGAGCAGTGACCTTAAAACATTTCTGCAACAAACCAAAAATTCTGCAGAACAGCTCTACCAGAAAGTCCTCCAAAGATATGTAAAACTGCCCTGTTTGCTACATGAACCCTGGATGTTCCAGAAATGTGGGTTCCTGAAAGGCCAAGCAAAACTGCATGGGTTGGAGTGAACCTCCAAAGCCCTTAGGAACTCCTACTTCCAAGCCATAATTGTTGCTGTATTTTGCCTGGGACCAGAATCTGAAGTTGTCATTTTCTCCCTCATTCTAAAAAAGCAATTTGGCATGTGGCATGATTGGGTTGGCTCCACCCAGTATATATTTCACTGCTAATGGCCATAGCCCACTGAAAATCCCTCGTTTAATGGTGCAGATCAGGGATGCTCAGCCACAGCCTCTGCCCACCATCCAGGAGTCCTCCCACAGCAGCCAGCACCGATGGGGTGGCGAATGCCCCTCRTGTCCCTGCTCATCTGCAAAGCAAATCTGCACCGCTACAACAGTTCATTCTGTTTCAAGAACACGGTTAAAGATGGATATGCTTTGCTTCCCCACCTCAGCCCTGCTGAGGTGATTTGACTCTCAGCTCACAGAATTGGTGATAATGCAAAGTATTGACTCCAGCAAAATCACACCAACCCCRAGACCGAACCAGGAGAGCTGCCTCCGCTTTTCTGCTTTCAGCTGAAAACTGGATTACACAGGACAGAAAATCTTCAGAGCACTTTTCTGTCACTARTCTCTTAAAAGCAGAGTTTGGAGACAGCAGAACACAATGTAAAGAACACTGAATTGAGCTTAATTATCTGGATTCATGTTGAAGTTGTCTCTTACCATGAATATTTCTAAATTTTTCAAAAAGCAAGTAGTTGTTATGGCACTTASTTCTTGGTAGGTTTAAAAATGTTATTTCAAACCCTGCGACAAAAGGATAGGAAAAAACCCRAGAAAAATCCTTAGGACAAATGATTTTGTTACAGAAGAATAAACAAATAAAAGAAACTTTACTGTAGAATTTGTAACCCCACAAGTCAAAAAGCATGMCTGGATCTCACACATCACAACTAGCAGCTCCTACTACTACAGCTAACAGGCAATGCCAATTTTTCAAAGGGTGKGGTAGGCAAAACATTATTTTCAGTTAAACCCACAAGATTAATACAAAGTCTCTGAATACAGCTCTAAGGTAACAGCGATTGTTTAGAACAGTTCTCCTTATGAGTTTTGAGGCACCTTAAAACCACACCAGTAGCAAACAAATTCCCCTGTTTAAATGATCTTTCATTTTCAGAAAGGCTGGGATTCCCTACCTTCCAACAAATTTTAACTGTAGTTTGGAAGAAAATAAAGCTACTTACCATTAAAAAAATCCCAATAGAGCTGGGAAAAGTGTTACATCTTGACTTTCAGTAAGTTTTCTTACCCAGAGGGTTGTTTGTCCTTCCTTCTTTCTGTCCCCTGTCCAGAAGCTGGAAATGCCATCCTGGACCTGAGCTGTAAATTACTGCAATAAGGAGTCACACCCTGTCACACAGTGCCTGCTGCAGAGTTCCCTCACAGCTCTCTGCCTTCCTGGGCTGTCAGGGCTGCTTCTGCAGCGCCTTSAACGGGCACCTTGAACACTCCCACCATCCTGGGAGGTTTTCCCTTCAGAGGCACAAGGCTGCAGGGGATGTTAGGTTGCCCTAGGTGCAATGGGAGGTTCAGTGCACACCCCAAATCCCTCGGTGCCACCCATCCATCGTCTGCAGCCCCGCACAGATCCCAGAGCAATGTGTGCAGKGTGGGGTCAGTCCTGCACTCAACACTCACAGCAGCATTTTGTGCTCAGCAAAGCAGGAGGCAGCACTGCAGCTTTTCAGGGACTTCAGCCTCACAACAAAGACTCCCAGGACATGAAAACACATTTGTAGTAACAGGAGGCTGATCACTCACAACAGGACGTTTTTTCATCATCACATATTGYAGATCACTTGAGTGGAAGAATGGGGGAAATGAAGACTCCCGGTGAACCTTCTGTGGTATTTAAAAGGTCAGCCTAACTGCTGAGATCAGAGCAGGCTTTCTTAAACAAAACCCACCACACCATCCAGTGACCTATGCAGACACCTTCATGTTTTGTGTTTAAAGGTACAAGAATAAAATACWTCTGTTGTATTCCACTTGCTTGATAATATGTGCTTCTTAATTTTCAGGAATACTTTGATTTCTCCAGGTACCTGGAATAACTTACAGAACCCTAGTACTCAAAATTTTCTTGAAACAGCTCTATAAATGTTAAAAAAAAAAACATTTTCCAAGGCATATTGTTTCATCCAGTTCAAATATTTACCGTAACTTATTTACTATGTAAGCTGAAAGCCACATCCTTTCAGTAAGGGAAACAGGCAACATCTTCATTAAAGCCTGAGACAGAGCTCACATTTAGAGTGAACTCAGAACACAGACCTCACTATAGAGCTGTRGTTCTTCCTTTCTAAAAGTGGATCAAATATCCCCACTGGAATTTTTTTAGTCATGGTCTGTCAACTTGCCTCGCTTCCAGACTGGAATGTAGCCCTTTGTTTTGTAAATGTATTTGATCACTGCTTTTTCCTTTTGACAAGTGCTTTCATGTATTAAAGAAGTCATTGTTACTTTTTCACTGGTGACTCAGAGATGTACCAAGCTCTCCTCAGAATGCCTCATTAACCTCTGCCCTCCATACTCTTCCATTTTTCCTTTTCTTAATCTGATTCTAATTTTTATTATGTGTTGTAACAGATTATCACCTTCAAATTCGAGGAATGCTATGTCCCTAACTACTTTCATAAAGGTGTAAGATTATCCTAAACCACCTTTTCTACCAATCTTGGTCCTTAAATACCAGGATAAAGGGCTCAGATGCTTCTGAAAATGGAACATCATGATCCAAATGCAATGATTTAAACTCTTAAAAAAAAATGCAAGAATACTTAACCTGTAAAAGTAAGACCTGTAACTTACTTAAGCCAACTGCATGTGCAMATGGCTAAGGCCATTGAATTCATGTCCAGCAAGGTGGTTCAACTCAATTCTTCCAGSTATCACAATTAACCTGGTAACTTTTCACCCAAATCAATGGTACCTAAAAATACTGAAGAAATACTTACACGGTGCTTACAGGTGCAGCTCAATCAAGAAAAAGCCACTCAATCTTCCCCTATGTTGACTACATAAGTATAACATTAATATTTTGATACAATTCAATTATTTTCCAAGATCCTTGGTACTTGACAGAGATGTGACACTGAAAATCAGTCTCATTTTCCCTGTACCTATTTCAGTTTCACAGCAAGTATCTACAAATGCTAAGTATCTACTCTGAATACCATGGGTGCACACCTCCCTGGGGATAAGGAATGGAACAGCATCATTACTTCGTTACTCTAGGCTTTTCTGCAAACTGAGCTGGAGTGCCTGAATCCTCTGGACAACATGGAGGCTCCCAYTCAGTTCTCCTTTAATGACCCAACAGTGGCAAGCCAGGGATTTCCACATAAAYAGACATATTCCAAAAGATCAGCTCTTTAAGGTTTTTATGCCCTTTGCTGTAAGTCTGGGGACCATCTATGTGTGTTAAGGTTGCTCCAGAGTTCCAGCTGGACAGCCAGAAAGCTTAGGCACCTAAAAGTTGTAAACTAATTTATTAGAGAAATCTTAAAATCAGATATGAAATATTCAACCTCAACTTTCTTGAAATGAACTAAATTGTCTAAATGTGTGTTAAGATTTTCCATTATAGAACTACACTTCCATATTAAATTTCTGCATAATACTGCCATTACTCTGAAAGGTGTGGGAAGACAGATGACATGAAATCTACACCAAAGGTAGTTGAAAAGTCCATTCATAAAACTTTTATTCCACTTACATCAACTTAATACACATGTTTTGAACAGTTATGCTTGGATTGTTCATGAAAATTTCATAAGACATTAAACAAAGCTAGCCATCATCTCAAGTTATTTCCCTGTTAACTATTTTTACAGCACATGCATGTTAGGCAAGTATCAAAAAAAAAAATCACAAAAGCAAAAAACCTAAAAAAGTTAAATACATGGGTTTTTGTTTTTACTGCTGTGCTCGATATACAGTGTCATTATGAATATCAAGCAATTCATTTTTTACTGCATCTTTACTTGTACATTTGTTCTTAGGTTGCTTAAACCATTTAAATACAAATAAAATGTGTAGCAAAAATAATGAAAGCAACAGCAGGTAACTTTACAAATAATGGAATGTGAACCGTTTCTCTGTCCTTCTCTAGAGAAAGCTGACTGGGTTATCAAACTGTCTTAAGGAACACTTCAGCTGCAATCAAAGATGTACACTTGATTGGAATATTCCACAGATGTCACATGTTCACCTGACATGCAATATCTATGGGACATCAGTTTATTCGCAGCCATGTTTGCTCCAGCTTGGATATTCACTCTAACTACACCTGTGGCTGCAACATTGATTATCCCTTTTTTCCATCGTGACAGACCAATATGCAAGCAGTCATCTTTGCCTGACATAGAAAGCTGTTTTAACACTGGCCTTGTGGGAAGCCACAATGTACCAAAAGTACTATGCCAAACATGTAAAACTTGTATAAAAATTTCACAACCCTATATTGGCCACCTCAGATGAAAACAGATAAATTCCCCAAATGTTAACTGGCTCTATTCCCCTAATATTAAACAAAACCACATGGGAAATATAGAAATCCAAATAGAAGTAACATAAACCTGTCAAATCGTAAACAAAAACTATTTGTGGGACAGCATGGATGACAAATGGTCTACTGTTTAAATTTCAGAATGAGGCAGACGGAAGTGGAAGGCTGGTTAATTCTCCCCTCCTTCTCCTGCTTCGGCTTCATCTCCTTGGGTATCCGATGTCCACAACTGTTTGGGAAAGAAAACAGAGTAATTTGTACATTATTAYACATTTATAACTAGTAATTAGCAAGTAATTTTTATAGAGAAGGCCTATATCTTAATAACAACTTCTAAGAGGTCCTGCTAAGCACTGTGGAGAAAGAAAAAGCACACAGTAACATGAATCTACTTCTTGGCTATGACAAAATGGAAATTCTGTTCTAGGTGACCCAACCCTACACTGCATTTAATGAGCAAGTTTATGGACAGTCAAAACCAAAGTCTCTTACTCACAGGACTCACTAAAACACAACAAGCAGGCAAGAATCAGACCTACAGATTGGATAAATAAGAATCAGGAACTAACAGCAATTTGTTTCTCCTCAAGCAAGTTTTACATGCCTTTCTAAAGGAAGTGCTTCAGGAAGGGATCTCTCCACTTCCAATGCTACTTCAAATGTGATCTTTCCTTCAAAACAGGCATCTGAAGTTTCTTCTGATTTTTAAACTTCAAAGTATTTCATAAAAATGTCCAACCCGTGGTCCTGTTCAGTTAGTTGTGCTCCCCTTTAACAACTTTCAGAACACTGAGCTGCCAAACTTGGCGGGCAGGGCAAGAAKGGAAGAAAATCAGGCTAAGCATGCACTATGCACAGAATGTTATTTTCAGCTCCATAAAGTCATACTAAGGAGCCATATGTCAKGATTAAGTATCAGCTAAGGTAACTAAGCATCAGTTCCAGAGCAACAGCCAGGACCAAAAAACTATTTTGTGAACCAAGTATCTCCACACTGGCTGCTTCCAAACTATTACCAGCCCAATATGATTTTTCATCTCTTGCTTTGTGGAGTTTGAGAAGCATTAACTGAATCATTCAGGCTCTACAGTATAAGGTAGTAAAACAAAACCAACTAATTCTCTCCACTCAYAGTGCTATACCACTGAAGTCTCATAAGAATGCCTTTCTCTCTAAAAACCATCAGAAACACTTCAGAAGCAGATGGCAACAATGAAACCTGCACAAGACCAACAGCCTTGTTCTTGCTCTGAACATAACGCAGGGTATCTGCACTTAATCCTCCCTGCTGAAGGCATTAAGCAACAACTTATATTACTGGAGACAACAGTGCACCAGTAGTCTAGACCAGTGTTTCTAGACCKGCACTATAACCTTTAATATGTTATTATATTACTACATTAGTCTCAATTTCAGTGCTATTCTTGTAAGAAAGAGTTAGCAAGACCAGTTTCATCACAATTCTGTCAGAGATTTCTATCCTAAATCATCACCCCCAGAATACAGTCAAAGAGTTATTTAGGATGGAAAAGACCTTCAAGATTGTCAAGTCCAGCCATTAACACAGCCAAGTCCATGATGTCCCCAAATACCACATCAACCCAAATTAAATAACTCCAGGGATGGTGACTTGACACTTCCCTGGGCTGCCTGTTGCAATGCTTGACAACCCTTTTAATGATGAACATTTTGCTCATGTCTCATCTAACACACACACTCATTAGGACAAAAGGGCCTGAGTGCTGAGTKCTATGAAAGGGGATTACCAATTTTACCAGCTGAGATCAGTTCAACAAATCTGCTGAAGGGAAAAAAAACCTCTCAGGAAGAAGTGATTCCTTTCATTTAAGAAAAGAAAACAAAAAAAAACCCAATTTCATAACAGAGAAAAGACATTATYTAGCAATTCCAGTAAAACAGATTTTGACAATATGAAAAACAGCCCTCTGAACACTTGTCTGCCTTCAGTCCCCACTGAGAATGAACACAGACTTCTTCAGCCATACAAAACTCAAGGTAAAACAGAACCAGCAACTGAGGGAAGTGCTCCTGCATAGAACTGATCAACATGCTGAATCACTGTTTAAAGCCCACCTACCTCAGAGTGCCTGACTTGCATAAATAGCAGAACAGACCTTTTTTACATTTATGAAATTCACTGTAGTCTTTGTTAGTCACACACATATCAAAAGTTATTTTCTATCTCAAGAAGTGGATAAACACGGAATCAATGCACCTGTACAGATCACACTAAGCACTTAAGGCAAGACAAATAATTAATTCAAGAATATGGAATCTTGCATCTGTTTACAGCTTTCTTCCTTATAATGGAAAGCTCACATCAATTACCAGGCCTACTACCCTAATTCTCACACTGGTACTGGAATGGTAGCTCAGTCCAACTTTTGCTCTTGTGTGAAACAATTTGCTTTCCAACTGCTATGACAAGCTCTACATTATTTTTACTGGGAAGCCAGCAATTATTCTCTATTCTCTGTTTCAAAACCCTCATTCAGAGGGCAGCTCTTGAGCAATCCCACTCAAGGGGACAGTACACACAGACATTAAGAGCAATGCCAACCCTGTATCTGTCTCCAATACAAAGGTTGAGAAATCACTTCCATTTGTTTTATAAGCAACCAATGGAACAATTACAAGTAGTTTTTGAAGCAGCGTTAAGTTGCCCTTTCAATGGAAAAGGCTCCAAAAGACAGAGAAATTAAATGTTAGTCACAATTGGCAACTCCAATTTTATGCAACTGTACAAGTTTACTTGTAGTTATTTTTAAAGCAGTGCAGCTATTTTGCAGGGGTCTCTAGTATCAGATGCATAAAGTGTTACCAGGGGCCACAAGTGGCAACAAGAGGTGGTGCTTATTTTTTCAGTTCTTGCTTGCAGCTCTTCTCCCCACAGACCAAGGAGTGAACTAAGTCATTAATTACACTATTGCATGTTTGCTTACATTTAGTTTCATTTGCTGTTTATCTTTGCCAGCTTTAAAGTTCAAAGTAGGTTAAAAAAGTCCCTCATGCAAGATGAAGATTTTGGTTATTCTGACAACTTACACCAGAGACAGTTATGAGTCCAAGGGAAAACAAGAAAAGTAATTGAGACAGTTGTGTTACAACGGCCATGGAAATAGCCTGGCTAGCACTGACTTTYATTTTGGCTGTACCAAAATTAACACCAAATAAAAAACCTCTGAACAACAGGTCCTTAAATGGACTTGCCAGCTGCTAGCTTTGTTTCCATTTTCATGTAGGATCCCTTCCTTGCAGATGCATTCACATAAAATAAGCCACATGAAATTTGACACAAGATTCAAAGAGGCAAATGCAACTGTATTCTCAAACACTGTGTAACATTAGCTAGTAGATTTGCTAGTCACAGTTGAGACTGCGTAATTTAAACATGCTAGATTCCTTGAATAAAATAACCTGAAAAATGTGGTTAATTTGTCATCTGTCAGAAAGTCATGTTACTTAGCATGCAGACCACAAAAACTCATAAAAACTAGGCAGGAGAAAGATTTAGCTCAGAAGGATAATATATGGGAGACTTGTTTCTAAGTGACAGACACAGCCCCATGGCCAGTAACAAAAAGGACAACTCAGGGTGCCAGGAAGACCAATCCTGTTATCTATATGCAAACTTCGATGATACTCACTGTCAAGTTGTCTCTCAGTAACTGCATTATTAGCGTGCTGTCTTTGTATGACTCTTCACTTAATGTATCAAGTTCAGCAATTGCTTCATCAAAAGCCTAGTGTTAAAAAAACAAACAACTCCATTAGCCATGTGACAAAAGGTTATGCAAATAATTTAAATGGAATTTCCCCCTCTTTGACTTACCGTTTTTGCAAGAGAACAGGCTTTCTCCGGGGAATTGAGAATCTCATAATAAAACACGGAGAAGTTCAGAGCCAGACCTAATCTGATGGGATGTGTTGGTTGCATCTCCTTTTTACTGATTTCAAAAGCTTCTTGATATGCCTGTTGTGATTGCTCCACTATCCCTTTGGGGCAAAAACAAACACAAACAAAACCCACAACAAGTAAGTAATTTACACACTGTATCCAGACATACAATCAGGACTGTGTTCACTCKTGCATGAAAAAAACTATGTCATGAGCGAATGCCTGTGAATGAGCATTTTACCTAAAAAAGTCACTATTTAATGAAGATTTTATTAAACTACTTTTCAAATAATTAAAAAAGCGGGAAGTTGTTATTGACTATATCACGGCTTTGAGTCTCTTCCTGACACCCTGTGACTACTTGCATTTACAAATGTTTGCAGCAGTTTTGTAGCACTGAAGACAAAACCCATCATCCACAGGAAAAACCSCAAGTTTTAACTCCACACAGGTTTGATACAGTACCACAATTTCAATATCTTTAAACACTGCAATACATTAGAGATCCACATTTTAGTCACAGGAAACATTGATGGCTTTTGCCTGTCATGCTGAACTCTTKCAGTAAGTCATTGTGAATTTCCAAGCAAACTGCTTAGCAAGGATAGTGCGGCGCACCACAACCCAGATTAAATATATATTTTTAAAAGCTTCCAACATAGTTCTATTTCCAATACATATATGGAAAGTATTTTACCTAACTTAAAGTTCAAGTACCTACAAAATGTGAAGGGAGAAAAAATAATTTGGCCCCTTTTTTTTTTAGAGATGAATCTCTTGTCACTCTTAATTGGTTCAGTTGTACAAGTTAGAAACATCTGGCAGAAAACAGCCACTACAATGTGTATATGAAGACTGAAGAGCTCAACAATTTCATGTCTCACTGAAAGCACCTGAACTTAGGAGCAGGTTCTGCCCACACAAGTCAGGGATCACGGCCCAGCACAGCCCACGAGCTGCTGGGACCGGGGATGCACTGGGCGCTGAGCACAAAGGAGCCCTTGTTCYTCAGCTTTCCACCAGTGTCTGAGAAAAAGGTGGGCAGAAAGTCATTCAATTCAGATGCAAAAGGACTCCAATCTTAGTGTTTCTGGATCAAACCAGAAATGTATCCAGCATGATGTCTACAAGAATGCAGTCACATGTATTCAAAAATAAAGACAGGAATTTTAAGCTAAGGACTCAAAAATACAGCAGTATTTAAATAGGAAGTACTCCGAGTCTGAAAACAACTGAATGCCAATACTCAGGATGTCTATGCGATCACTGTTTATCCACCTTTAGATAGTCACAAAAATTACAGCACCATATTGTTCTCTTCCACGTGGAAGAGTGAGGACACTCATTGCACAGTTCATCAACACCGTCCTCTCCACATTCATCACTAATAATGGAACACTTCAGATCGGACAGCGGCCCTAATACCTTGAAAATGACCAGAAGTCATCTCAACATTACAGTTGAGAAGAACTAGGTTAACTGCAAGTTAAATTAAGATGTTCTGAGAGAAGTTAAACTCTTCTCATAGTGGAAAAGCCTTAAAAAATGGTGCTGTTCATGAAATGCAAAACAAGCAGAATGAAAACCAAGTAATTTCAAGGAATGAAGCTGAGAGTTGTATTTTTTAGTAATTTTTCTTTAACGTAATTTCAAAACAAAAAGCATGTTTTTTTCTCCTATTTGAGAAAACAGCTACCTTTTAAGCAATTTGGAGCATTTAGTGCGTAATTTGTTATGTTATTTTCCAGATCAGTCAGACAGTATAAARAAGTTTTTAATCTTGAATTCTTTAGAAAATGCAGTTCCAAAGTTCAAGGATAAAATAGAACGTGGTACCTGCTTGACATTCCTGTCTGCTGGATTGCCATAAGGAAGCCCTAGTCCATAAAATAAACAATGCAGTTTATGAAGATAAAAAACCAATTCCTAGAGTTGGGAACTTTATATTGTTGCTGTATTTACTGCAAAAGGCTGAAGAATAGTGTCCAACTCAACAGCCATTCTTTCCTAAACAATAATTATCAACTGCTTGTCTTCAAGGTCAAAGACAACATTCAGGAAAAGCCTGTCACATGAAACACTGCAGGTGGAGGATAAATTGAAAAAATTGAAACCCACCAAAAAGTTGCTCAGCCAGGAGACTGAGTTAAATAAGAAAACTAAAACCCACTTCAAACAAAGATTTTCTTTCTAATTTTTCAGTCTAATTTTAGAGCCTGTAACTTAATCCTCAACAGAAAAAGGAACTTTGAGACTCAAAATATTGTACCTCCTATGCATGCGAACAAAGATAATGMAAATTACCAAAGAAAAGCATTGTAACTCTCTGTAACAGATCAAAAGTACTGCTAGCACATATAATTCTGCAGTCAACAAGATTGGGTCAGTTTGCAAGCAGTAAACATCAGAAATGAAATTGAGTCTTCTATACTAAATCTTAGGATCTTTCTGTGACTTTCTATTATCCAGCACGCTGGGGAAACTGGGCTTCACTGTGTAATGTGATATAACATGTATGCCACTAAATCAGATATATCTATCCCCTTGAAATGATTCCACTTCTGTTTCACATCTGTGCCAAACTCAATCTAGTCTCTGAAGTCCCACAAACCTCTTTGTGTGCCATACTGGGGAGTAGCTTATTAGCTTGAGGGGCTGCTCAGTGAGGAATGGAGCAGGTGCTCCCAAGGGCAGGGTGGTGCAGGGCACAGATGGCCCAGCTGGCACAGCTCAGTGCTCTCCACACCCCCAAGGGTCCCACGTCCTGGGTTCAGACTGTCCCCACGCTCCCACGCATCCAGGAATCCTGCAGACTCAGGGCAGCCCAAGTCAGTGGGAGACACCAGGCTGGCTCTGTGCTGAAGTGCACTGCCCCTCAGGGCACACTGCCAGAAGCCCTCAAGTGGCTCCAGGAAACAGCCTGGCACTGTTTGCAGCGAGCTGGATCTCAGCTGATACACTGCTCTGAACTGAAGGTGACTCTGCATGGAGGCAGCAATGCTGTCAGGGTGTCTCCAMCTACAGCAGGTAATGCACCCAAAATGAAAAATACCTCATGTCAACTTTTCTGAGTGAATTTAGGTGAAGGCCACTTACCTGCAATTGTGATAAGCTGCTTATATGAAAATAYAAGAAACTTGAGGAAATACAAGACATTTGGACATTAAAACTACCATGGTTACAGAAGAAATTTTCCTAACAGTAAGATTAATTCTATTAATTCTTTTTTGCAGTTGTTTCTAGTCTCTTTGCTCACTGAATCTACACAGACTTCTTACATTGTGTAGAAATGTGGGAGAAATGGCAAGAGTAAGTCTTCAGAAAGCTAAAAGACTAAAGACTACAAAGAGTTTGTAAAACCCCCAATATTCAGCTAGACAGAAATGCATAAACCTGTACTTCAGTGATGAACCAGGTGCATACATGTGTAAGTTGGAGATTATTTCAACATTTTGTGACTCAACGCCTGCTTTGTGCTTCTGTTGGCATAGACATGGAAATTTGTGTAACTCATTTGAAAGCCAACAACTTACGATTTTCCTTCAGAAAACGAAAGTCTATTACTAAAAAAATTTACATCCAAATCAGAATTATTCTAAAATTAGAGTTGTGCCACTGCCCCACCAAAAGCAATCTAACTGGACAATGCTTATCCACAAGCTGACATACAATACCTTTCTTGTCATCTCCAGCAGCAACCTCAGCCAAGTAACGGTAGTAGTCTCCTTTCATTTTCAAATAGAAAACTTTACTTTCTGCTTGCGAAGCATTAGGGATCAAGAACTTTTCCAAGAGAGACTGAAAAGAAAACAAAGAACACTGTGTTTTGAACATACATACTTTTACAGCATGCTGAACCAACAATTCAATTGTATTTCCATTTATTTTAAAGTCAAGACAGCTTCACTTTTTGCTTATTTTCTTCATATCCTACAAAACATAGCTAGAGAATGTGTTCTGGATTCCAATTTTAGATATAAATGGAATGCTGCATTGTGTGACTTGATAGGGAGAAGAAGGCTGTGTCAATTTAGCAGATTGGTATTATATGACCAAAGGATGGCTTTCTATAAGCMATTATCTAGAACCCTGGCGAAAATAAGGTAGTCCAAAGACTCTGTACAGAGGGTATACCATGGAAGACAGCCTGCATCCACCAAGTACAATAAAAAAGATTTGATGTATCAGCTGCCAGATCAGAGATCCAATTATTTTACATACACAGGAAATAAATAAGCCTCCTTAGGCCAGTTCCCATTAACTTGAATGCTCTGCTGGCATCACCAGCAAGAAATCACAAGGTGAAACTGGATTATTGCATTTCCAGACAGCTAACAATCTGACATTCAGCTCTGTAGCTCCTCTGTTTGACTTTATGTGCTGCCCTAACAAGTGTTTCCTCTATCTTCTGAAGCGAAGGTAGCTCTCTGGTCTCACTCCACCAAATCATCCCTGCGGGCTGACAGTTAAGACCAGTTTTTTCTAGATTATTCCAACTACTTGCTAACGTAGCAAGTTCCCAGCTGAGGCAGTCACATAATTTAGCAAGAGTTCTATTATGATGAAAAGAAAAAAAAGAAAAAAAAAAAATCACTAGCTCCAACACATGTAGTCAAATTAAGGTACAAGCTTGTCAAACTTTGTGATACTGTTTGAAGTCAGACTTTAGAAGAAAAGCCAGTTACTTAAAAGTCAAAAAGGTACAGCACTCCTGAATAGTCAGAATTGAATCACAAGCTGTTACATATATTTGGTGAAGGCTATGCAGAAATAATTCTTTAGAAGAGGTTTTAGTACAAACTTTTGGCCATCTTTTTCCCCCTGTAAATTAGATGACTGACATTTAAGTTTTACTTTACTTTTTTAGCTTGTATTTCCAATAATGCTACAGAAATGGACAAACTAATTTAGTTCCAGCTTATAAATGATGGCTGCTTTACAGCACTTTCCTCTCAAGGCCATCCAGCAGGTTAAATAACATCTTACAGGACATACTACCTGGACAGGCCTACCCTGGATATATGGTAAGCTGCAACTACTGCACTGTGGCATGGACAACTGTGGTACCTGCTCTGCTTAACAGGCCAACTATTCAGCTACAGAAAACTGTAATTCACAGAAAGAGCAAGAAGAGCAAGTCTGGTCTTGGGTTTTGTTTTGGTWGGCTTTTTCTTTAATCAAAGTACTRCTAATTCATTTATAYGAATAATGAGTATTTATTGTTAGACTCAAACTTGCATGAAACTCCTCAAAATGAAGTGACCCATGATAGCATCTCTCTCTTCATTTATATTTCACCAGACAGGTAATGAAAAATCAGGCTGACAGAAACCGAAGTTGGGCAAGCTTCAGCTATGCCTAGGCTACAATGAGATAAAAACCCATTAAGAGGACTTCCTTTAGGGGCTTCAACATAGTGGATTTATTCAATCACCTTTAATATTAGGCCTTTTCAGTACAGCAGGGGTTGGTATATAACTTCATTTTATAACCACAGGGAGACACTGAAAAATACTGCCTGTCCTTGCTCCCATCCAAATGACAGCAGAGACAATTCTTTGACATCGGCAGGTAAGCAAAACAAGCCAGTCAGCAGCAGAAGTATTTTTCTGGACATGGTCAAATGGGCTGCTGAGCTGCCTCATGCCAAAGGCACCTTCTTYGGATGTCCCACTATGCCAGGAGAAGGGTTCAGAGCCAGCTCTGCCCCAATAAGGCTGGGATGKAGCAGGAGGCCGGCAGGTTTACGGGTCACACACCTCAGCTCTCAGTAACCACTTACACACTCTGTCCTCACCATTTGAGAGCTTCATGGTTTGAAGCTATCACATTTTCATTTGTGCCAAGAAACTCCAACTTCAGTGAAAACTGAAGGTTACCAGCTATGAGAACAAGGCTCCTTATTACTTTTTCTCTGTGAGACTTCAATTAAGCCAGGCGTGTCCATCTGCACCTACCCTTCTGGCACCATGGGGAGTTGCTCCCTTTCTGCATCCTCCATTAACTGGCCACACTAAAATATTTTCTGTGATTTCAGAAACAAAAATCATTTCTCATCTGTATAGAAGGTAATTTGATTAAAATGTACAGCTCTACTCACTCCCACCGCAGCAACCCTCCAAGATTTAAACTTCATTTAGATCACAAATGAGGTAAACTTGTTTGCAAACTGAATGGGTGAATTGCACAAGTAGACAGTTAAGASGAAAGACTACTAACTGCCTTCTTAAACAGGCCCATACTAGCAGGGCAACAGGAGTGTGAACACTGTAAATCTTGTATTGAAAAAAGTTCTAAAGCCACATCAAATTTCAAAGACTGATGAACTGAGAAAATCCCTTCAAACAGCTATTCATACAATATAGCCAATGCAAAGAGACTCCAACTCAAACTGCACTGGAAGCTTGCTCATATTTGGMTGAAAGAGTCTATTCTATACAAAAAAATGTAGGACTGATAGGCCACATATTTTTGAAAGAATTTTATTTATGCAAAGTACTTCATAAACAGCAACAATTAAACCTGAAAGCAGACGAACATTTAAAAGATAGCATGTGAAATGACTGAAAAGACATTGCTACCCAATTATTTATTTAGTCTTATAAATTCAGTTTCTTCTACTTGTATTAGTACATTTACTTCATGATCTGTTTTCTTTTASTCACATAAGTAAACACAGATCACTATTTTAAAGTTAGCCTGAAAGTTCAGGGTACACTGATTTATCCTAGAGAGTGGCTGTGAAAGCACAACCTGCATGGAGGAGGTGCAGCTACAGAAAGCCAGATAGGTAAGACCAGTGAAACTACTAACATTTTGAAGTTCAATTAACAGAAGATTGCAGAACCAAAAGTGTAACAAATCTAGCAACCTTGTATCTGCCAACACATCAGCTTATGGGAAATACTATTTATCTTGTGGATTTTTTTAATAGCTTTAACTGCAAAGCTTCTCTGGAAGATATATTTTTTTCCCACAAGGAGGAATATCTTGAAATTTAAGACCTATTGATAGGTTGTTTGTCCAAAGCTTCAGCAGTACCAGCAATATAYGCTCACCTCTTCTCTCCTTTACCAATTGATAGGACAGTGTTTATCAGTGCAGGGCTCATCACAATACAGRCCACTGAACTGATAGCAGCTAGTCCCAGACTGGCTCAGTAAATGATCTGTATTTACCAAACTTATGCCATCTGCATCGCTGCAATGCACACAATGCCCTGACAAGTGCAGTCCATACAGCACATGTATATTATAGCCCCATTATATGTAGTTAAGCTCTCGTGCTTGCTCATCATGTTCCCTCTACCATGCAAAACTCCCATCCAATTTTGATATATACTAATACATGGGCAGTTAATTAGTGTCTTGATCAGCATCTAGTAGGAACAGTTTTTAAAAAAAAAACCTAAATGATCACTCCCTGTTCTTGAAACCCAAGGACACAGCACCAATTTTCAGAGCTTTTAATTTGACAGCAAAAATCTAACTGCTGTAAAACAAACCAYTCTATTGTAGTCAACTAGGCAGATGCAGCAGCAATTTAGACCAGTTTTCAGCCCAAACCTGTAACAGCCTGTACAAGTAAGTATTGTAAGTATTTTCAGAAAGATTTAATGGAAATTACTTTTTTTTTTTTTTAAGGATGTACTAAATCTGAATATCAACTCTTAGTAATCTGCTGGCCATTCAAAGATCCGGCTTCAACACTTCACACTTGCAATTCTAGTTAWGACTAAGTCAAGAGCTTTCTGATTCTCTGGACTGCAAACAAACATGCTCAATCAAGGGAGATGTCAGCTATGCTCACAAAGACCATTGGTAAGATTTGGTATGTTCCCTCACCCCCATCAAKTACGTACCAGAAAAGCCTTCATCTCCAAAGACATAACTGAAGCTGTCTGCACAGAACTTGTATTATTCTAATGGTGAACTTCAATCCTGGYTTATTTTAAACACTGAACTGGAAAGAGATTGACTTCATTCTTACACACATTCTACTGCCTGAACAGTCAACAGATAACACAAAGTGAAGCACAATGTGTTTTGAGCCCATTTAACTAAAAAAACCCCAGCAATCTCCTAAAAGTCTGTCTGCTTCTTCTTACTGCAAGTGGACATGCTTCAATTTGTCACATTGTGGTGACGACTGCAGTTGAAGACAGGAAGCCAACACAAAGACTTGAAGAGTCCTTTCCTGACACTTGAAGCCTAAAAATACTCTTCTTTTAAAACTATTTGTATCTTTGGTAAATGACTCGTGTGGGCCAGAAATCTATACCTACATCCACCACATGAGCATGAAATTAATTTCATTTTAACGCTCAGTTTTGCCTTATTGCTTTTAGTTCAGTGTTTATTTCCTTTTAAAGGCTTGGTCTCAGTACATGTTATTGCCTAGAAACTTTGGATAATTATTAATGCACTTGAGACAACTGCATCAACAGATCGATTCTCTACTTATGTATTTTCCTCCTGACAAGCAGGAGACTAAGAACAGTCACCAGATTCTAGGAAAATACAGTAAAAACTAGTGGATAACACACAGCTAAAGTACTGAGAACAATAAACTTTGGGTTTTTTTTTAAATTATTCAGCTATCTAATTGAGTAAAAACAGTAGAACTATTTGAGAAATAAAAAGATACTACTCTTGCACAAAAGAACCAAGGTGTGGAATGGCAAAACTCCAAAAGAATACACAGATAAAACACTAGGTAATTTAAATAGCATCAGTTTTTCTCTGAGATAACAAAGCAGGGTTTTTGTTTTCATGCAGTATAGAAAGACACCTGGCAAT